CCAGAATGGGAATTTAAACCTACTTAGTCTACATCCAGAGTCTCTGTTCATAATCACTTCCCCATACCTCCTCCCTACATTATTACAGTTTTTTTTCTTTTTGTCAGTCTTTCTTCCTTCATTCCTCCCTTTCACAAATATTATATACAGCTCTTCTGTGACTTAAAATTGATTTGTATAGCCATTTATAATGAGTTGATATGTAAAATATTTATTTTGATTTATGCCTGACTCACAAATTAATTTGGATTATAAGGTCAGCCTTTACCTGCTTGAGGTCAGCCTTTACCTGCTTTCAAATTGCAAAGGTAGGATGGCAGTAAATTGCATGCAATACTGGAAGCTACTCAATGAAAACTGAGTGTGTTGGGGCACCTGGGTGGCTCCGTCGATTAAGCATCCAGCTCTTGATTCCAGCTAAGGTTATGATCTCACGATTCATGAGATAGAGCCCCACATCACATCTCCTGCTTGGGATATTCTCTCTGTCTCTGTCTCTCAAAATAAATAAACATTTTCAAAAAAGAAGAAAGGAAAACTGAATGTCTCCTATTTTGCCCTCAGTACCTATTATGTAGCAAGAATCATATGTAAATCTTAGCAGACCACAGAGGGAATTTAAGACTCCCTTTTGGCCATTTTCTCATGTGTTACAACAAAATAGAATCATCTCCTTTCATTTGCTCTGTATCTGTGTATTTTCTGTGGTGTGCAAAGTACTCACCTTTCTGCATTAGATAGGTGGAGGGTGTTGAGCTCCAGTGAGAAATTTTATTAACATTCAGAGCTTTTCTTAATCTAAATAAAATAAAGTCTTGGTAACCCTAAGTATACAGACTTCAGTTTGTCATATTCAACATACCGTATTCACAGTAAAATATCTCTAGGTGTGCAGGATGGTTTAGTGTTGATCTGGCTGTATTTCATGGACGCAAGACACAAAAAAACTTCCCTGCTGTTCTGCCATCTTGGCTCCTCCAGTAAAATACCTCAATGTATTAAACAAATGTATGATAAACTGCTTATACACATCATTTTTTTAACTGTACATTATTCCAGAAGTCCCTTTTTAAAGTTTGTTTTTAAATTCCAGTTAACATTTCTTTTAAGTTTTTTTTTTAATTCCAGTTAACATACAGTGTAATATTACTAGTTTCAGGTGTACAGTATAGTGATTAAAACTTGCATACATCTTGGTGCTCATCACAAGTGCACTCCTTTATCCCTATCACCTGTTAAACCCATTTCCTACCCACCCCCCTTTCTGGTAATCATCTATCAGTTTGTTCTCTATAGTTGAGAGTCTGTTCCTTGGCTTGCCTCTCTTCTCTCCCTACCTTTGCTCCTTTGTTTTCTTTCCTAAATTCCACATTTGCGTGAAATCATATGGTATTTGTCGTTCTCTGACTTATTTTGCTCAGCATAATACACTCTAGCTCCTTCCTTGCCATCACAAATGACAAGATTTTATGCTTTTTTAATGGCTGAGTAGGATTCCACTGTATATATATACCACTTCTTCTTTATCCATTCATCAACCAATGGACACTTGGGTTGTTTCCATATTTTACTATTGTAGATAATGCTGCTATAAACATTGGGGTGCATGTATCCTTTTGAATTAGTATTTTTTTTT